TGTTCTATCCCAGTTTGTGTTAATGTTATATTAAATCTGTAAGACACAGTTATTGCTTTATACAGCTAATATTTATTTAGATTTATTCACATATTTATCACTTGCTTTGCTCTGCAGTCCTTTCTGTATCTTTGGCATCTGGAATCACTTTTATTCTACCTTTGGAATTTCCTTTGATGAGGCTCTGCCGGTTGCAATTTCTCTCATTGTATTTCACCCTCTTACTTGAAAGATATTTTTGGAAGGCATATAATTGTAGGTTAATAGTTATTTTCTCTTGGTATATTAACACTCTCATTCCATTATCTGTTGCATTCAATTGTTACTCGTGGGAAGTCAGCTGTCAGTTAGCTGTCCAGTCACTCTTCTTTCTTTGAAAGTAATCTGCCTTTTTACCCTGGCTGCTCTACTCTGGTACTTCTCCCTCAGTTCAGAAGAGATCCTAGCTATTACCTCTTAAAATACTGACTCTGCCCCATTTTCTCTCTCCTTTCCTTCTGGAACTCTAATTAAATGTCCATCTTAGACCATGTTTATCACTCTATATTCCACAGGTCTTGCTTGCTTTTTACTTTTCTTTTTTCAGAAATAAAAGGCATTATAATAAAATCCACTAAACATTAAATTACACAACTTGATTTGAAATGTACCAAATAATACAAAGACTGTCTAGAATATCATTCTATATCCTCTTTCCTATATTCTATCTCTTTGCCTCTCTCTGCTGATTTCTGAATAGTTTCTTTCTTTGTTTTTTTGTGAGGAAGATCAGCCCTGAGCTAACATCTATCGCCAATCCTCCTCCTTTTTTTTCCCTTTTTCTCCCCAAGACCCCAGTAGATAGTTGTATGTCATAGCTGCACATCCTTCTAGTTGCTGTATGTGGGACGTGGCTTCAGCATGGCCGGACAAGCAGTGCGTCGGTGTGTGTCCGGGATCCGAAACCGGGCCACCAGTAACGGAGCGCACGCACTTAACCGCTAAGCCACGGGGCCGGCCCCTGAATAGTTTCTTATAAACTGTCTTCCAGTTCACTGATTCTCTAATTTTATTTAATCTGCCTCCCTTCAACTGAATGAGTTCTTAATTTCAACCTTAACTGCTTTTACTTCCAGAAGTTCAAGGAAGGTTATTCTTGAGAATTTCTTCTTCTCTGCACATATTTTTATTTCTTTAAACATAGTAAGCATAGTTATTCCATATTCTATTTAATAACTCCACTATCTAAATTATTTCAGGGTATGGTTCTGCTGTCTGTTGCTTTTGCTCTTTCTCACATGTGGTACCTTATTTCCTTATTTGATTATCAACTTTGTATGCTGCTCACCTTCCTTATAAAATAATTTGAGTAAATTCTTTGAAGTCTAGGATACAGGAATATCTTCACAAAAGAGCTAGATTTGCTTCTGCTAGGTGTCTGGGAAGTTAACAGGCCACAATCACTTTAAATTTACAACTAATGGTTACTTTAGTCACCCAGAGAGTGAATTTGGGTTGCATGATTATAACTTCTAAGCTAATTTTTTCTTCCTCATTCTGCTCAGCACAACTAGGGAAATATTCTTTGTAGTCTCCTAGAGTAGGAGGTGAGAAAGCAAGTTAAGTTCTCTTTCACTGAGGGTGTATTTCTTTTGGGTACCAATTTAATGGGGAAAGGGCTCCTGTTGGAATACCCAACCATGGATGGGCCCTAGGTTTGTGTCTTTTACTCCTATATTTTGGGTGGCTTTTGCAAAGCTGAACTTCTCAAACCCCCCAAATTCCAAAATAGTCTCCAGGGTAAAACTGGCGTTACTACTCCCCTTCCTTATGGTTTTATTTTGATAATAACTTACCTTGCAGGTATTCAAGGATTTTAAGTAGATGTTTTGTCATCTATTAATGGCCCATTTTAGTTGTCTTCAGTAGTAAGGCCACACCAGAAACAGAAAGCCTGTCTATACTCACTCTTTGGTGCAGTTCAACATAGCTTCCGGATCCAGCAAAACTCCTTTTGCAAAGTCAGAAATAATCACCAAACTACCGTATCAATTTGACATTCTTTTCATTTATATCTAACTCAATCTGTCCAGTTTCTAACACATCTGATTATTCTCTCCTCTTGAAGCCAGTTTTTTGCTTCCACAGCACCACTTTCCTATACAACCTCTAAATGATCATTCCTTCGGGCTCAGATGTGGATCTTCTCATTTCTGCATTTCCTCTACCACAAATATACCTTAAATTACCAACATTCAACTCTTAGAATACTTTAATAGCCTCCCAGTTGGATCTCTTCTGCCACTCTTGTCCCCATCTAATCCATTCTCTGTCTTAGTAACCAGAGTGATCTTTTAAAAATAAAAATTAGATCATGTCCTGTTGTCTGTGTAAAACCCTTCAAGGTGCTGCATTTGAACTTTAGATAAATTCCAAACTATTTAACATGGCCCACAAAACCCTGTATGATCATAGTCCTGCTTATACCTCCAAACTGTCCTCTTATATAATACTATAAGCAAATTGACTTTTTTTCAGTTACTCATATATACCAAATTCTTTCCCACCTCAGATCCTTGACACTTGCTGTTCCCTACTCCTAGAATATGCTTTACCTGCTCTTTGCATGGTTCATTCTTACTCATACTTCAGATCTCACTACAATTGTGACTTTCTCACAGGCATTCCCTGACAACCCAATCCAACAGCATCCTGTTCTTTTCCTTTAGAACATTTATCATAATTTCTGATTAAGTACTTACTATGGGTTTATTTTAATGTCTGTCCTCCCAATTATCTACAAGAAACAGGCATGTAGAAACCCTACTGTGATCTTCCCATTTCATGCCCAGGACCTAGCACAGTGTCTGGCACCCAGCAGGAGTTTAATTAAACATATATTAAATGATTCATTTCTCTCCCTATAAGAGGACCCACAAGAAAAGAACAATTCTAACCAGAAATTACATGTTGAATACAGAATTAGAAACAAGGCGACGGGCCAGCCCCGTGGCTTAGCGGTTAAGTGCGCGCGCTCTGCTACTGGCAGCCCCGGTTCGGATCCCGGGCGTGCACCAACGCACCGCTGCTCCGGCCATGCTGAGGCCGAGTCCCACATACAGCAACTAGAAGGATGTGCAGCTATGACATACAACTATCTACTGGGGCTTTGGGGGAAAAATAAATAAATAAAAAAAATTAAAAAAAAAAAAAGAAACAAGGGGAATAAGTTAGATGATAGGAACACACATAGGGATCAGGCTAAAATGAGACATACTTACTTATGAATAAACCCATAATGCTTAGAGCCATATAGCCAAGACTACTTTCCCCTAATATTTAATGGATAAGGCAGATGCTGGTTTTTAATTATCTCAATACATGGCTTTTAATTATTGTTGCCTACCCTTCAGTTAAAGCAAATAAATAATCACCTACAAATAGCATATGTTTCTCAAGGTGGCTTGAAAGTTCATTATTTGGAACTCTGAAAACATTTTCCCACAGAACCAATAGTACACAGAGTGGTTAGCTTCTTTTGGTTAGTTCATAATGTTGAATTCATAATTCATTTATCCATTTTAACAAATATGAATTGAGCACTACTTTGTGCCAGGAACTGTTCTAGCACTGGAGATACAGTAGTGTACAAAATAAGACAAAAATTCCTATTTTCATAGATCTTACATCCATGTGATCAAAACAGAAAAGAAGTAAGTGCAATATACAGAATGGAAGATGGTGAAGAACAACGCAGAGGAGAGGGATAGGGAACACAGAGACTGCAATTTTAATCTATTATTAATTGAATTTATTTCTATCTCTTTCTGGTCCAAAAAGGATTTAAGTTAGATATGACTTATAGAATCTAAGTATCACAAATAAAATAACAATGCTTATACAAGGAAAGACTTTCTATCAAGAAACTTTATAAAAATACACTCCTTTTCTCACAGCAGTAGGACAGAAAGAACTGCTCAGGATCTAAGTCACTGACAAGCTACCACACCCTGAGGCAGGGTCTCCAAAAAAGCAGTGGCTACAGAAGGTAAGAGGGCGAAAGAGGGTGATGGAAATTCCAGGAAGAAAAGAAATGAAGAGCCAAGAAGGAAAGCACACTTCTTGTTGACAATATGACAGCCAGTCCCCTCTATTCAACCACTAGTTGGCCAGCTTTTCTTTCTGTAACTATAAGTATTTCTGACCAACATCTCTTCCCTATCTGGCATTTTATATTTACGTAACTTTTTCCTCATTATTCTATCCCCAAATCAAATATTTAACTTTTGAAGGTTTTCTAATCAATTTAATGGCAGAAAAAGATCCCTTTCAACCCCTACGTGTATCATTAAAATTCTTATCAGAGGAATGAAGATAGCCAGTAGACTACTCTAGCACTCTCATATTTTACCGTAATAACTGAGATAGGTAACAGCACATGGGGTGAAATGCAAGAAGATAAAAAATTGGAACAAGGTTTCAAACAGCATCCTTAGCACCATAATAATGACTGGACAAAGAGAGACAATCAGCCAGTTTAATCTTCTATACTTGTCCACAATCAGTTCCACTACCATGGAGCATGCACCATAGACTAAAGTGAGAAGAATGAAAGGGGGCAACAAAAGCAGTAACCCCTTTCTAAAGCCCTCCTCATACAGCTGAGGTAATTATAGCGAGGTAAGGAATGAGCATATAAACTAAGCCTGTCCATAACTTCAGTTTTTATTCCTTCTTATGAGAAAGTGCCACCTTATTATTTTCACCTGAAAAAAGCAAGGGTTTTAGTCAGTGAGTGCTAATATTTTTTTGTAATTATTCATTTCACTGTTATTTTAATAAAATAAAATTATTTCTCAGCTTGTAACTACCAGATATATTTTTGAGAATTTTTCAAATTAAATATAATTTATTTATAATCAAAATTTCATAAAATAAAGCGTCAAGTTTAGGAAAATATAAACAGCAACATATAATCAAAACACAGTATCAGCAGAAAGATGTTGGCCAGAAACAATTACCTTTATGGCTGTGTGCTTGTTTTCATCTTCCATCCACAGATCCTGTTCATAATAATATAAGCCATCATTGATAACTTTAGCAAGTTCAGATGTAATTTTTGCCTGAGACATGTGGTTGCCTGTTCGATCTCCTCCAGGATGTTTTCTCATGTAAGGTGGTGTCTGAGTTACAATCAAAATCTTGTTTAAATCCTGGTCATCAATTTCATAATCTGAATCATTATCAGACCAATCAGTAAATGTGTTTTTTCGTCCTTCTATTTGTTCCATCTCTTCATCAAACAAAAAATCAAGTTCTTCTTGTTCTTCTTCATCTGGAGGATACAGTTGATTTGCTGCCTCTTCTCGTAGAGATGCTGATTCCTAAAGGAAGAAATTGGTATTTTGTATAAAAACTTTTCTATCACTTTAAAAATCAATGTTACAAGTAAGTAATATCAAGCTTGTATGCTCAATGACCAGTTTAGCAGCCAAATTGTACAAGAAAATCAAGCTAGTGTTATTCTGGCACAATAAATATAAAGTAAGTGCCAAATACTAAGTTCAAGACTAAAGAAAAACACAAAGCTGAGTAAAAGGAGGATTATATTAAACACTCCTTTAGAGTTAGAATGGTCCTTAGCTCATGCATTATAGCATACCAACTCATTTTACGGATGAGGAAAAAAAGGCCTAGGGATGTGATGCTACTTGCCCACAATTTCAGAATTAATCAGGACTAGAAGAACCAAGATCTTCTGACTTCCAGATTCAATGATCTTCCCTAGTCTGAACGCTTTTTACCTCACAATTACATTAATACTATAGTTTCCTAGCTAATCCTTCTGCCCCATCCTCAACCCCCATTCAATGTGGCCCAGTTTTCATGTTAAATTCACCCTAACACTTATCGAATTGTTAAATCTCCACCCTTCATGAAAATCTAAAATCTAACCTAGTCTAGATTTCTGAAACTCTCAACACAAGGAAATAGATTTCTCAACGCTGTCATCTTCCCATGCCATCCTCTGACCTATGCTTATCTTTCAACAAATGCTAACTCTCCTACGCCTAGAGTAAAACAATCCATCTCTTTCAGAATTCCTTTTCATGTAGATTTATATTCATTCATTTAGTCAGTCAGTAATTATCTGGGTCCTTACTGTGAGCCGAGCACTGTTCTAGGCAGAGTATACAGCAATAAATAAAACAATAACTCTGCCCTGATGAAGCTAACATTCTAGTAAATGGAAGGTTGTCCATGATGTTTTTACTAAAAAAAAAAAAAAGTAAGTTAACATATTGTGAATATATTTAAAAACAAAAACTATATACTTTGTTATTCACATCTGCAAGTACATGAAAACAGTCTGAGAATAAATAACAAGCTGTTAATAACGGTAGACCCTGGACAGAGCCTTTTACTTTTCACTTTACATCAGTTATATTTAAATTTGTTTCAAACATAAAATTTTTTGTAATCTGTGAGGAAGAGACAATTGAGAGATTTGGGGTTGAAGATGACTTGACTGAACATACTTATTTGCAGTAATGATAAGCAGTAAGAAAAGAATAAATCTATGTCAATGTGAAAACAAGTATTAATATCAAAAGATCACAAATTTTTATGCCTTTCTGGAAAGCAGAAAACAAGTGGGATTGTATCGATAATAAACAAGACTAGAGGAAATATCAACCTAGAACCTATATAAAGGAAAGCTGCTGGGAAGGCAGACACCATTGGTCCCAGTGGTGTTCTGGAAAGTTTTGAGATGGTAGGTACAAAGAGCAGGAATGGACTATATGATAGCAATCATAATAGATATTTGGAAAACCAACTTCAGGACACAGCTAGAACAATCGACCCCACCCCTTATCTGAGAATATGAAGCTATAAAATCTTCTCCCAACTAAAAGCCCAAGAATTGCTTTCCAGACAAAGTGAAAGATTTGCAAAGGGAGGGCTTATGTTTTAGGAGCTGGAGAGAGGTTGAACACATCCTAGTGTTAAATCAAAGCTGGGGGAGAAAAAGATAAGGTAATTTTACCAATGAATTAAATACACTAAGGAATTCTACCTCCCAGGGAAAAGTACTCCTTATTTAACAATACTGGAAATACAGAACGAGCATGGTCCTGGTTCTCTGCCTAGGTCTAGAAGTCTAAGTTCATAGGACCTTTACGCTTAATAAAAAGTGTACAATCATACCACACAGAGGAAAACAGCCCTCTGGATGAGCAAATCTACAAGGCCACAAAAGAAATCCACATCGATTTACCAATACTAATATGAACCATCAACCAAAGATCACCAGATATTAAGGGACGATCATCACCCTAAAACAGAAAGACTTTAAAAAAAAATTGATGGAAATATCACAACAGAACCTTTTATAAATCCCTAACTCCAGAACACAGTAGCCAGATGATAAATCCAGGAGGTCCAACATCAGACAAAAAGGAATACCAGAAGTTGAAAAAAAAAGAAACATTAGTGTCCCCAAAATAAAGGACATGAATGCTGGACACAAGGAATAAAGACAGCCCAACTCCAAGATATAGCATCTGAAATTTCAAGAGTGGAGATGAAGAAATAATCTTAAAAGCCTCAGCAACAACAACAAAAAAATCACTTGATACAAAGTATCTGAAGGGACTGAATTCCACAAGAGGAAAATTGACCAAGATGACAGTGGAAAAATGCTTTCAGATTTCCAAGAAAAAAGGCTCTCTAACCAAGGTTTCTATACCCACTCTAGAATGTATATTTTAAAAAGATCATTTTTTTAAAAGTATGTTGACAATGTTGTCCATAACTAACCTACCTCAGCAGGTTATTTCTGAAATACCTAGGCCCCCAGAACCTATAGTCACTCATCTTTCCTCCAGGCCAGATCTTCACTCTGTGCTCTCAGAATACATTTCAGATCTTACTAATGGTAACAGCATTCTTTGGCTATAAAGCTGAAAGGTCCTAGATTTTCACAATTCTCTTTCCACTTCTAAAGCCAGGTTCCATCACCAATTTGCTGGCCCTATACAGCCCAACCCAATACTTACCCTTCCAAAAACTTTTTTCATCAAATCAAAGATGCTATCAATTTTAAGATGAACCATTATTTTTAAAGAAATTTTGAAATGTGATGATTTTTAAATATGGGGGGAAAATGCAGATCTTGGAATAAATGAAATCCGGTACAAATTTTTATCAGTGAGTCCAGGACACTAACCTCCCTAGTTATCCAGGTTTGCCATGGATATGGCAAATATAGAATTTAATATAGAAATTAATCAGGATCTTTAGAAAATCTTGTTTTGAGAAAGCTGCTTTAGGCTTTTAAAATGCCCCCTGAGGAAAAACTCTTGTAACATTTAAGTATGCTATGTTTAACCACCACTAATTAAAAAGTTATCTCTGATGAGGTTTTCTCAAACTCAGCACTGTTGACTTAGCACTGTTGACATGCTGGGCTTGATAATTCTTTGTTGTGCATGTGGTGGTGGTGGGGAGGGTATCCTGTGCACTGTAGGATGCACTGGTCTCCACTCACAAGATGCAGCAGCACTCTTTCAGTTCTAACAACCAAAAATATCTCGACATTGCCAAATGTCCTCTGGTAAGGCAAAACATCAACACTCATTCCCCCAATGGAGAACCACTTTTAAATCCTTCGTGCTTCCTTTCTTCGTGCTTTGATCTTAGGGATAAAGAGCACTGTTCTTAATAATTTTCAATATGATAGCCTTCTTCATCCTTCCCAAATCTACACCTATATTTAGTGACCTTTTCCTTATAGAGCTTACTTTCAATATCTGAATCATTTGAGTGGCACTGCTTCCAAGTTTATTTTTAGTAAACTTTTTACTTTGAGATAATTGTACATTCACATACAGATGTAAGAAACAATAGAGATCTCACGTATTTCTTACCCAGTTTGAACCAGTGTTAACATCTTGCAAAACTATAGTACACTATCACAAACAAGACAGACACTGACATAACCCATCAACCTTACTCAGATTTCCCCAGTTTTACGTGTTACTCGCTTGTGTTTGTGGTTAGATCAGAGCAATTTTTATGACATCTGCAAGGTCACACATCCAACCACCGGTCAAAGATGCAGCAGTTCTACCACAAGGATTTCTCCTATTGTTTCATAACCACATCCATCCCACTCCTTCATGTGTCCCCAAGAAATCAATTCTCTTTTCCCTTCCCACTGTACATTAAATCATTAAATATGAACTTGATATGAACCCTTTACAAATAACTAATAAGGGTACAAATAATATAAGAAAGTTATAAATTCAAAACTTAAAGTTATTATCAGCTTTAAAAAAACTGAAATATTATTCAAATTTAGTCAGAAGAAAAAAGGCCAAGACAAAATATTCTTAAATCATATTCAGAAATAAAAGGCAAAATTTAGGACCAGCCCAGTGGCGCAAGCGGTTAAGTGCGCGCGCGCTCTGCTGTGGCGGCCCGGGGTTCGCAGGTTCGGATCCCGGGTGCGCACTGACGCGCTGCTCGGCAAGCCATGCTGTGGCGGCGTCCCATATAAAGTGGAGAAAGATGGGCACGGATGTTAGCCCAGGGCCAGTCTTCCTCAGCCAAAAAAGAGGAGGATTGGCAGATGTTAGCACAGGGCTGATCTCCTCACAAAAAAAAAAAAGGTGAAATTTAAAAATTGACACAATATAACATTTTCAACTACTGAGTAACCCATAAATTTTTACTGAAGGCCAATGGTTCCAATTTTTACCATTTTTTAAACTTTTCCAAATTTGATTCATATACCTAACAAACAGAAAATACACTGGCGTTACACTCCACCCAAGAGATATCACATTTCACTTAGTTTATAACAACTTACCCTCAATTTCACTGAGGATGGACAATGTCTCTTTTTTACTTCTATCCAAGGTTCTGAGTCCAAGTCAGGCAAACTGGTAGACAAACCTCTAGACAGTGCTTGAAGATTACTTGTGTCAGTACTTTTCTTTGGGTTCAGTGGACTTCCAATTCTTGGAGAATTTGGGGCAGACTCTAAAATGTTAAGTTCTATAGTTAAACTAACGGTTTTCTTACTTATAAAACACTTTTTTATTTAGGCTTTTTTTTCACAAAAACATGATAAATCAATCTCAATTATAACCTGATGGTTTTCAAACCTTAAGAGCTTGTAAGACGTATCTGAGTGAAAACAATGAATAACAAATAAAAGAAATGTCACCAACTCCTACACAGATCACATTCATTCAAACTTCTCGAGAGTATCAATGTGAGTCACTTACTAATTATGACAATACATCTGAGAGGCAATTCTCTGTGAAATCTTATATTAAAATCTATTAATTATAATGAAATTACAGAATCTCAAATGCTATTAAGCCACAGTTAGACTAAATGCACATTTTATTCAAGGCAAAATCAGTCCTTCATTGTTCTGCTAGGATCTATACTAAGGCAGCCATTACTTCCACTTTTCATACTTCCTTTGCTTAACAAGATTTACCTAAATGCAGTGTGCCTGCTTAGCCCATACTAAATACTATAAAGAGCAGAATGTCACATCATTAAAGTGCATTGCCCTGCCCATAACATTTAAAACTCTGTTGGAATTAAAAATGTCTTTCTCCACACTATCTTTTAATCAAAATAATGCAATATGCACTTACTTTGGATAAAAATTATTTTAAAAACAAATTTGTACTGTAAAATTCTAAACATCATTATTTATTGCCCAAAGCCAATTCCTTGAAAATACTGCAAAGTTGAATGTTACACTATATTTCTTTTGGACAGCGCTGCTCTACAACTTTGTTAATTAATGATATATGTATCATCAATTGATCAACAAAGTAGTACAAGTGAAATACGTTTGTGCTGTCAATATTAACATTAAAGTTACAGGAAAGAGAAAAAACATTAAATCCAGAGAACCCTATTCCTAACACTATGAATTATCTATGTTCATGCAGTGAATCAAGCTTTGAAAGTAGACTAAGAACGACCACCCTAGTTAACTGTGAGAATTAACTAAATTACTATGCATAGTTCACATATAAATGATTAGAACAGCACCTGGCACGTGGCAGGGAAATCTACCAAATCTACCAATAAAAATCTTCTATTTTTAACATAGAAATTTAATCTTTAAACACCTACTTAAGTTTATTATATAATCATCTCTAGATGCTCTTTAAGCTTGAATGTTTCTAAAGTCAAGTGTTTCACTATATTCACAACACATGTGCTTATAAACTAAATGACATTAAAATACCAAAGATTTTGGGTAAGACAAGAAAATTTAGAACAGTCCGAGTTTTTAAAGGGTATTCACCTTATAATTAAGCTATACATATGCTCTGTGTGATTTTCTGTATCTGTATTTTCTTTTACAGTGAAAAGATTTCAAACTTGTGTGTGTGTGTAAATTTTAAGGATAATGGTAAAGCCCTAACTTTCCAACACCAAATGAGTTTGAAAATGACTTGGATTACCTGACATTAAACTGACAGAAAAATTAGACACATACTTTGACACATATAGGTTCTAATTTGTGAGAACACAGAAAAATAATTTATCTTTGCTGTTTTCCTTAAGTGAAAATTGTCAACATGACTCTCTGGAGATAAATCATCATATATATTCCATGATATCTACCTAGTGTGACTTTTCTAATCCACCCTGAATCACAGCTCTGGGTAATTACATAGATTGCTTTCAAAGGATTATATATTTCACGTGTGGCACATTCAACACTACTTCTGCAGATTAACTTTTCAAAGGAAATCCCACAGCTCATTCAATAATCAGAGATACTCCTACACATTTTTTAAAAGCCAAAAGAAAACACAAAAAACAATATTGTCAGGTACCTGACTTCTCAATTTGGGTGAATAAAATTCTTTTACTTAAGAGTTGATAGTGCAATACTATATCCATAGAAGTGCAAAACTCAATTTCAAAACTAACATCTTACCATTCCCAAAATGAACCTTTTCTGGTGCATTAAGGTCCTCTGTTCAGTGCAAAGGTCATCAAACGTTAGACAATTCAATCTCCATAGAGGGAAAATCAGAAATTTTAATTTCTTTGATGAAAAGGACCAAAAATGTTTAAATAGTCCTTTACCATACAAATTCCTCAGAAAGTATACATCAAGGGTTATATTTTCGAAATTTAAAGTCTTCTCATTTGAGATAATAAGGATATAGATAAAGGTTTACTACTTTTCTCTAACCATAGGTACAGATAAACACAATCTACACTTCCTATCCCCTATTTCCATTTCAAATTTGGTAATATACTACTCTATTGAATTTAGGAAACTAGGCTTTCTTATCAGAGGGGAATTATTAAGGTCAGAAATTTGGGGACTCATGGGAAAAGGCTGAGTTTACATATTTATTCCTACGATATAATGTGAATCAGCACAACTCTAAGAACATTTCATCTTTTTATATGTCCTCATTATCCATCTAGTTTCTGATGTATAATCTAAAGAACCCCAAATTTTTGACATTTAAATATACATTGACTTGTTTCAGGCAATATATATGTGCATGTAAACAGTGTATATTAAAAAAACACAAAAATGTACAAGACGTAATTTTATTCTTGTAATTTTATTAATAATGCACAAATGGTTAATGGACAGGCATCACCAACTTGACTGACCTATCTTAGCTAACCTGTGGGAAAAATATTTTATATTGTATCTGACTCACCTAATGCCTGTTCATAAGCAGGTAAAAACGTCATCTTGGACCCCAAGTTTACACAATAAATTAATCTCACATACAATCAGACATTACATCTCTTTAAAAAAACCTTAAAAATGTCACTTTTCTTCAACTTTTAAAACACCTGCCCAAGTCGCTTGCTAGATTTAGAGGAACAATTAAAGAAACACTAAATAAAAATATCTGTGAGACTGTCCATCAGTGCTTTACTGATGACCAAGTCTCTCATACTGGTGTATCAAAAATACATTTTGAAGAATAAAGAAAAAAATACTCTTGTTCATTTCTTAAATTTCTTATCCCTTAGTTCCACATTAACAAACCTTATAGTCCATGTGAAATATTACAACACGTGAGTTATACAATGTACAGCATACTGAAGGGCAAATCAAACAATCTTGGAAATGCCACTCAAGCCTCTCTATTTCTGCTTTATTGATCTGGATACAAGTACATAAGTCTGGAAGGAAAAGACAGAATCTTGCAATATTTCCAGAATGATAATTAACTCCCACCGTGAATAAAAGTAGCACATGCAGCCCAGGCTAATTACACACAAATGGGCAGTCCTATAAAAACAACAGCAGTCCTCTGGTCTGTCTCTCATCATCACGAAGGTGTTTTATCTTCACTGTAGTGTTGGCCCAACCTCCTCCACAAGGAGTTGAGAGTAGATATTCTTGCACAGAAGTAAGTCTGGTCACTTCCATTTCTGCAGCACGATTTGTTCCAATATTTATAATGATATTTCAGTGAGTCACCTATTCCTCTGCATTTTCCGATCAAATGACATCCAAGAGCATCAGCAGATCATCACCCTGACTGAAAAAGGTTTAAGCACACATATTTTTTCCCAAGAGGGAATGTCTTAAAAATGATCCAGGAAAAAATTCTTAACATTAAAGCAGTTTTTGGAAATTCTAAATACCACCAATTCTTTAATCTGTAATTATAATAACTTCATAAGAGAACCCCAATTCTGCTTTAGAATAAGGTCATCTCATCTTTTCAAGACAAGGTTGAAGCACATTGGTAACAAAATTAAAGATACCCCATTCTTGACATTAAGACTTTTAGACTATTCCAACCCGACTAAAATATTCCAATCTTACAAAGGGAAAACTGATACAATATACCTATAATCATTTAGTAAAATTATGAGAAGATAGGGAGAAACTCCACACATAACAAAGTATATGAATAATTTAAAAGTAAATAGAGCAGAGCTTCACCCATAATTCTTAAATCCCTATTTAATTTATAGCTGTGTGGGAGGCAGTACGAATGGAATTTAGAGCATCAAAGTCATTTAGTTACCTTTAACTTGCATCTAAACAAATTTTAAAAAAGGATAGTTAAATTGGCCCAAATAGCCCACTGTTATGCTGTTTGCTCCAGAAAAATAGCTGTTACCTGTCTGTGAACAGAAGGCTTGGCCTGGTACAAACTCTGGGCAATCAATCAGCTGTGAGAAGTCTGTCTGTGGCACACTACGTGGAGGAGGGCCTGGAATTGGCCATTTTTCTGGTTCTATTTTTTTTCTCATTTTCTCATCCACAATTTCCACTTCTGTGCTATCTTTCAGTGCCTATAAATAGGAATTTTGAGCTATTAAAGAAGTTTCAACAACTTAAAATTTTTAAAAATCTGAAATTAGCAGATGGTATTACAGTTAATGTTTCTAAACATATTCATAAATTAACTAGAACACAACAAATTTTAAAATCATTTGTCCCTGTAAAGTAACAAATATCCTGATTTAACATGTAGCAGATAATCTGGTTTTCACAATTACAATAGTCATTCCATCAACTGAAAGCAAACTACTTTACTAGAACAAAATTTCTTTAAAATAAAAATTAAAGCCTTATTGATTTGAATTTTAAGTACAATTCAAGAGTACTCACATTATAGAAATTAAATTAGGAAAAAATACAAATATAAAAACTCAACATACATACTTGTTAAATTATAAAAATTAAAATTTGCTATATTTTAGTTGAAGGACATATTATATGTATTACTTTAAGAATCTTACATTTGTATGCCCTTAATATTAGTATAGTATTTACTTCTCAAGTTATATTTTCCAAATCTGGACATTGCCTTAAAATTAGTATTAAAAATTATTTAAAAACAAACTCTTTTGATGGGAATCAGGATACTCAAAGAGAAAAGAGTCTGAAATATGGAATGAAGGAAATAAGGAAGAATCCTACGCTAAAGAGTTTGAATTGATGATAGCTGATATTTTTTTTCTAATATATGTTTTCCTAGTTTTGTCCACTGAAAGTACTAGAAGCAATGACATCCCAGTAGCAAACCAGTATACCCAGCATCCAGATCTTGCAACAACATGGATGAATTTTTAAAACTACAAATTAAAGTGCCAGGAGACAGAAGAATTCCATTTACAAAAATGTCAACAACAGACAAAATTAATCCACGTCAAAAGAATCAGAAAAGCAGTTTGAGGCAGGGTGAGGGGAAGTAGTAACTGACTGGAAAGGGCCACTAAGGAAGTTTTTAGAGTAATAAACTATTGTTTGGAGCAGGCTTATACAATTTTTTATACAAAAAACTCAAACATCTAAGATCTCTACATTTTACATCATGTTTTTATACCTGAATTAAAAAAAAAAAAAAAAACTCCTTGAAACTTTCCTATGGGTTTAAATTTTTCAAAATAATGTTTTGGAAAAAGACTGCCAACAGTGTTGGCTAGAATGTGGAATAAGTCAAACTCGCAAGAGTGATACTTTCAATTGGTTCAATACTTGGGAAAAACGTTTAGCAATATCTACAAAAGCATATATATATATATATATATCCTGTTATCCATCAATTTCACAGAAAAATAAGTACATGTGCCCATCCAAAACTAGGTACAATAATGTTCACAACAGTATCACAAATTCAAACCACAAAGAACCCAAATGTCTATCAATAGGAGCATGAAAAAACAGTGTTAAAGTCATACAATGGAATACTACCCCATAAACGGAAAATGAAGAATTGCTACACACCAATAACATGGATAAATCTCACAGAAATAATGATGAGCAAAAGTCAGATAAAATACATTTAATTCTGATTACGTGAGACAACTCTGAAAAGCAATAACCTTTGATGAGAGCAGTTGTACTGACAAGGAGAGGGCACAAGGGAGCTTCCTGTGTTGTTGAAAATGTTCTATATCTTAATCTGCTGGCAGTCACATGTATATACATAGGGAAAAAGTATCTGTAATCTTATGATTTCTAATATACAGTGTATAAATTATGCCTGAATTTAAAAGAAAAAATTTAAAGAAAAATCTGGCTGGGAAAAACGCAAAGTTCTTTATACACAGCTATTGAATGATCTTGTAATATATGTTTTTAAAAAAGGAAGGGGCATAACAGTGTGTGCAGTAGAACTTAGGAGAAATATCTTAGGAGAAAAACACAAAAAAGAAGTAACACTGATTGCCACCAAGGAGGTTTAACTAGTTCATTGTTGGTGGAAGATAGGAAGAAAATTTTTCACTATAAGCTTTTTGAATCTTGAATCACAAAGAACTTAGTCCCTATTGAAAAAAAATTAATTCAAGAAGAAAATAAAGAAAACAGAAAGTGAAACAGTTGTGATTCGGGCCTTAAAAGGATCATAGAAAAACTGTATCATACACAAAATTAAGGAAAAGATCTGGACAAAAGAATTACACATTTTTTATTAAAACTAAACCTTGGGGGCCAGCCCCATGGCTTAGCAGTTAAGTGCGCGCGCTCCGCTACTGGCGGCCCAGGTTCGGATCCCAGGCACGCACCAACGCACCGCTTCTCCTGCCATGCTGAGGCCGCGTCCCACATACAGCAACTAGAAGGATGTGCAACTATGACATACAACTATCTACTGGGGCTTTGGGGAGGGCGGGGACTAAACCTTGGTTATCTTGAACTTCTAAACCATGAGTTACACTGTACAGTCAATATTTCTGGATATCTGAGGTTTTTTCTAATGAGCTATTAATTTTGGTCCTTTTCTTAATGACACCTATTACTATGAATAACTACCAATGTTGGAAAATATAGATGTTATATCCTTAGTTCCTGGTCCTATGCCGGGTACTAAGAGAAAGATGTGTATGTGCAAAGACCTGGAGTTAAGAAGAGAGCAACACACATTCTGAGAAAACACAAGGTCAGGCAATTTGGAAAACAAGGTTTTAGATGAGAGTAGCAGGCACATTTCTAAGAACTTTACAGATATTATATTAATTACTCCTCTAAGTTCTCATACTCTATGATAGTTTAAGTATTATTTGCCCTATTTTAACAATGAGACAATTGAAGCATGGAGAGGTTAAGAAACTTGAATAGAGTTATACAACTAATTAGGTATAGAGCCAGGATTGACTGTGGAGCAAGAATCAAGAATGCAGTAAGCTGGTTCTACCATAAGATCCAGCAATTCCACTTCTGGGTATATACCCAAAGGAAATGAAAACAGGATTTTGAAGAGATATATGCACTCCCATGTTTACTGCAGTATTATTCACAGTAACCAAGATATGGAAACAACCTAAATGCCCATCAACAGCTGAATGGATAAAAAAGATGTGGTATATATACAAAATCAAATAGTATTCAGCCAGGAGAACAGAAGATATCCTGCCATTTGGGACAAAATGGATGGACCTTGAGGACATTATGCTACATAAGTCAGACAAAGAAAGACAAGTACCGTGTGATATCACGTATATATGAAATCTAAAAAAGTCAAACTCATAAAAAAACAGAGTAAAACGGTGGTTATCAGGGGATGGGAGGTGAGGGGTTAGACTGATGTTGTTTAAGGGTACAAACTTGCAACAAGTAGCAAATAAGCCAGAGAGATCCAATGCACAGTATAATGACTATAGACAACAATATTGTACTATAATTATGTAATATGATAAATATTACTACAACAGCAATCATACAATATACATATGTATCAAAGTACAAAAAAAAAGAATGCAGTCAGCTGAAAAATGAATGGGAGGGAAGGAAACAGATTCAATAAGTCTAGCTGTATAGAGAAACTGGTAACCAGGGCAGATATGGGTGCCAGCTAAAGTATATTTTGCTTGTTTTTTTTTTTTTTTTTTGGTGCGGAAGATCAGCCCTGAGCTAACATCCGTGCTAATCCACCTCTTTTTGCTGAGGAAGACCGGCTCTGAGCTAACATCTATTGCCAATCATCCTCCTTTTTTTTCCCCAAAGCCCCAGTAGATAGTTGTATGTCATAGTTGCATATCCTTCTAGTTGCTGTACGTGGGACGCGGCCTCAGCATGGCCGGAGAAGTGGTGCATTGGCGCACACCTGGGATCCGAACCCGGGCCGCCAGTAGCGGAGCACGCGCACTTAACCACTAAGCCACGGGGCCGGCCCTATTTTGCTTCTTTTCATAGTTTTTTCAAGAAAGGAAAGAAAAGCATATTCAAATGCATATAGGAAAAAGCTGGTAGAAATGAAGATAAAAGGAGGAGTGCTCAATAGAAGGACATCCTTGAAGACTAACAGTAGGAGCCAATTCTTCTTTAAAGCTTACTATGCATGCCAGATACTGTCATCACATATTTCATTCTTATGACAACCCTATGAAGTATGTTCTTGTTGCTACAATTTCCACTTTACAGAAGTCTCAGGACACTACCCAAGGTCAGAGAGCTACAAGGATGTCTATACAGGTTTTCAAGTCCATGCTCTAAATCAATGTTTATATTGCAAAGCCTAATGAAGCCTTAATAGAAAAAAGACACCTTTCCCACTGTAACAGATGGTAGGTGCATGTTAAGTGAATGAAGACCTATGCTTATATGTTTGTGCATTTCACAGTAATATTATTTTATTATTTCTTACTGTTCATCAGCTACCATTATCAATAACGTTAACCATAATAGTAACACAAAAGTTCTTTTTAAATATTCCTTCCCTACTGCTATAAGTTTTGGAAACAGATGATTGATAATCTGAAAATTGTGCTTGAGGTCTTAATGGGAATATGAACAGACCAAAAAGCATACAATAATGAAATTACAACCAGATTCCTACAGAAGTACAGAGAGTGGGGGAAATCAGTAACTTCACTGAAAATGACAGCTGAGCTAGATCTTTGCTATAGCACAGACAATGGCAGTAGTTAATATTAAAACTCTTTCTACTATGAACATAATCATAATATTTTGCTCCAAGAATAAACCTTGCAGAAGAAACTAAGTTTTCTTCAAATTAAAGTATACAGGGGCCAGCCCGGTGGCATAGCAGTTAAGTTTGCACACACTGCTTCGGTGGCCCAGGGTTCGCAGGTTCAAATCCATGCTGTGGCAGCGTCCCATATAAAGTAGAGAAAGATGGGTATGCATGTTAGCCCAGGGCCAATCTTCTTCAGCAAAAAGAGGAGGGTTGGCAACGGATGTTAGCTCAGGGCTAATCTTCCTCACCAAAAAAAAAAGTAGACAGAAACTTTATTTAAGTAGTATCTATAAATAAACAAATGGAATAACGGCATTGCTTGAAGTAATTTTTTCCATAAAACAAAGAATCATTAATTACCACATCAACAAATAACAAATCACTAGTTTATATTGTTTTGAAAACCTGGACTTTCCTATGTTCAAAATATTTGCTAAAGAAGTCTGTTAAGAAAACAAAAAGATGAGTCAAAGACTTGGGAAAAATATTTGTAAAATATACATAAAAGACCTGTATACAGAATAAAGAACTCTTACAATTCAATTATAAAGAAAACACTCCAATAAAAATAGGCAAAAGATCTGAACAGACATTTCAACAAATAAGGTACACCAAGGCAAATAAACACATGAAAAGACGCTCAACATCATTAGTCATTAGGGAAATGCAAATTAAAAACACAATGAGAAACCACTACATAGGGCCGGCCCAGTGGCTTAGTGGTTAAGTGCGCGCGCTCTGCTGCTGGCGGCCCGGGTTGGATCCCGGGCGCGTGCCGAGGCACCACTTCTCCGGCCATGCTGAGGCCACTCCCACATGCAGCAGCTGGAAGGATGTGCAGCTGTGACATACAACTGTCTACTGGGGCTTTGGGGAGAAAAAATAAATAAATAAAATCTTTAAAAAAAAAAAGAAACCACTACATATATATTATTCAAAAAAACTGACAATACCAAGTGCCGATGAGGCCATGGAGCAAATGGAACTCTCATGCAAAATGGTTAAACCCACTTTGGACAACAGGCTGGCAGTTTCTTAAACATACACTTACCAAACATCTCAGCAATCACAATCCTCGATATTTACCCAAAAGAAATGAAAACCTATGTCCAAACAAAGACTTTTATGCTTTACTCATGATCTCCAAAAACTGGAAACAATCTAAACAAACTGCAGTACATCCATACTGTGGCATACTAGTCAACAATAAGAAAGAACAAACTACTGATACATGCAACAACACAAATGAATCTCAAAAGCACTATGCTAAGTGAAAGAAATCAGAAACAAAAGGCTACAAACTGTATAGTTTATTTATATGATATTCTGGAAAAGGCAAAACTAGAGGAACGAAAATCAGGTCAGTGGTTCCCAGGAGCTGTGTGTGGGGAAAAAGACTGGCTACACAGGAGTGCAAGGGTGAAAGTCTGTCAAAACTCATAGAACTATATAGCAAAAAGGCAAATTTGATTGTACGTTATATAGGGAACAGAAACCAAAAATGTTGAAAACACTTCTAGAACAGAACAGACAAAAGATCTAATAAAAGCATTAAGAACACAACTGGAAAGACTGTTTTAAATTAGTTCTCAAAATTTTAATGAATGGGAATACATGCTATTTTACAGCAACCTGAAGAAGACCAAAGGACCAAGAACACCTAAGAAGGTTCAAGGTTCAACCTTGAAGGATCAGGTTAAAAACAGGTGGAAACATCATTAGTAATTCTTTGAGGGATTTCAAGCTTAGACATTTATTTGGGTTTTATAAAATGGAAAAAAGTCACGAGATGTAGTCTAAGCCTTAGGCCAACTACAGATTGTTTTTGCTTTCTTTTTCTTATAGACTTTATTCTTTAGAGCAGTTTTAGGTTCACAGCATAACCGAATGGAAAGTACAGACTGCTTTGTAACTGTTTTGTAAATGAATAATTACCTCTAAAATGAGACTCAGGTTTGTAGTGAGAGCCTGAACACGGTGGAAACCAGCAATCAGGGAAATAGGCAAGAAACCCTGTTCATCCATCTTTCTCCTAAGAAAGAAGTCCCGTTCCAAATTTTCTATGCTGAAGTAATATTCACTGAAAAGAGAAATAAGGAAGTAAATATAAATTGCATCCATTTATTCAATAGGAAATAAAAATATTTATTGCTTATATTATCAATTATTATAAAACTATTTTAATTTATTTATAACATTATATATTTAATACAACATAGGGTAAATATAAGAAATAACAGCAAAATCCTACTGAGTTAATTTCTCTTATTCATGAGTAGAAATTTAAAATATTGATTATCTAACCAAAAACTATTAACTTCTACTTAGATCAGCTTTATCTAAGTATAAAGAATTAACCAGCATTTTACTTTAAAATAGTTTAATAATTGATTTTTTTAATGAGTCAATTAAGTGAAAAATTTCGTTACAAAGCTACTTTAACTTGCTTCATTTAAACACTAAATAACAAAGCTAAACACATGTAAACAGACTGACTTCTAACTTTTTCCCAACACTGAGAAGAACAGCATATTGGAAGTATCCTTTGTCTAGTTTACTGAATAGATTAGTTTGTTTTGTTTTCTAAATTGGGTACTGACATTGTTGAATACTTCTAAACCCTAGTAATCAGCACATACTTAGTAAAAACAGTGAATACATGGGCACAGGTGCACACACACAATTATATATTTGCATGATTCAAGATCTCCTTTCTTTGACGGACAGAACTATATAAAAGACATTAACTAACAGTGAACAGAATATAGCTAAACAAGGAGTATCTACACCATGAGGTACATTGGGGAAAAAATACAGAAAAAGCTTAGACACCTTAATCTTCTCTAGAAAAGTACAGAGAGAAATGTAACAGACAAACTGTATGATCAATAACTAAAAGTTCCAAGATACAAAGATAACATGAAGAATATATTCAATAATGGCTTTTGAGAAACACATATTTAATACAGCCTCCATATAGAAAAATGAGAACAGGATTCTAGAGAGACAGAACAAGAAGGTAAATGGGGGGAAAATGTAGAAAAGAATAATACAAAAATACTCCATACAAGAAAATGAGAGTAGGATTCTAGAGAGACAGAAAAAGAGGATAATGGGGGAATATGTAGAAAAGAATACAAAAATACTCCATATAGGAAAATTAGAATAGGAATCTAGAGAGAAAGAACATGAGGATAAATGGGTGAAAATGTAGAAAAGAATAATACAAAAATACCCCATATAGGAAAATGAGAACAGGATTCTAGAAAGACAGAACAAAAGAATGGGGGGGGGAAATCTAGAAAAGAATAGTACAAAAATACATGACATCAATGATGATATGGCCTACAGTTTAATAATCCTATACTGTTTGCAAATCACAAAGAAAGTTTTCAAAGATGGGTGGCAAATTATGAGAAGGCACACCAACTCACATTTGGGGGTAAGGCTGGATGACTTAAGATACCCTTGAAGTATTTAGGTCAAATTCTAACTTTGAAGAAATAATCATCTGTAAACGAAAACTGGCTTTGAGCTACTTTTCACTGGGGGGAAAACTCTTACTTTAGAAATGTAAATACCCAAGCTGTTTCTTTGTACTCCAATATTTACCCAACTATCAAAGTACAAAGCTCCATTAGATCAGTGAAATACTACTGACATCTCAGTAGCACTAATAAATAATTTACTCTTCTTAAACACTGAAGAAAAAAAATCTAAGTCTTGAAGAAATCAACATTCTGATTTTTGTTACACCTCAAAAGCCCTTTTCCCACTGCCTGGCACGTGGTGAGCACATAACACTTGTGTTCTGATCTCTGTTACACTTCAAAAGCCCTTTTCACAGTGCCTGACATGTGGTAGGCACATAACACACATGCTTAAATTCTCAATTTTCAGACATTAGGACATTTGATTTAGTCACAAGTTGAAACTGTTCTTAGATGAAAACTTCTCTGAATCATTAATGTCTTTTTAATCTAGTATTTAGTGAAAACCGCAATATCTAAATAAATTCACAAATCACCCCATTACCTACAGTATATATATTTTTAAACTTCTTATGGGCTGCAATCATACTCATCTCTATATCTAATGCCACAAGAGATTGTACCAGCTAGAAATAATCAAGATCTTAAATTTTTAATATTCTGACATCAAAAATGACAAATTAATATACATTTTCAATTAAAATGATTTTAAAAACTCAACTAACCAGGGGCCAGCCCAGTGGCATAGCAGTTAAGCGCGTGCAGTCTGCTGCTGGTGGCCCGGGTTCGGATCCCGGGCACGCACCAACGCACCGCTTGTCAGGCCATGCTGTGGTGGCATCCCATATAAAGTGGAGGAAGATGGGCACGGATGTTAGCTCAGGGCCAGTCTTCCTCAGCAACAAGAGGACGATTGGCATGGATGTTAGCTCAGGGCTGATCTTCCTCACAAAAAAAAAATGCCAAGAGCGAAGGAAGAAAAAACTCAATCATCCATAATTAAGTTAAGCCTCCTACTTCAAAATACACTTAGCATAATATTCCACAAGTGCGAGGAATTTTTCAGTAACTCCTCAAAGAGAAAACTCTAAACCCTACTCAACACGCCCATGTATGAGAAACCTCAAAGACACCTCAAAGTCAAAAGCGTGACTCCTCAAATCCAGATGTCTACTAATCAATCCAGGATAACAGTAAAGGGCCATTCTAAACCTGGTGATCTAACATTTGCCAAAAACCCTACTGCTAAAACAATAACAACAACAAAAAAAGGAGTCATGCCCAATGCCGTGTCCGACATTTTGTTCCGTGTCCTAGGGGACATTATCATGTCCTACCTTAGAAGCTCTGGATTCTACACTGCATGATCAGAAATTCTGTCAACACTGAAGTAGCTCTGCTCCTCCCTCACTTGTATGAGCACACTGGAGGCCGATTATCCTGACATGGAGTTGCATGTCCACTGTCAGGTCTCAGAAGGGACCTGGCAGCAAGAGTTACAAAAAAGACAGGAATAGTGGTTTGAAGTTGATAGCCAAATGCTAGGCACTTTCTGCCCATAAAAAGGCCCTTTTCTTCAGTGTTTGCGTCAACTGTAACAAAAGAATCAAGAAAAAAATAAATAAGTTGCTTCATATTGTAAGCCAATCAAATCCACCATGAAGGCATCCCAAGGAAGACGCCTGGCTGATGCTGATGGAGAAATTATTTTCTAAGAACAGTGTAGAGTCCATTTTCTTTCTTAAATAAAGATAGATGTTTTTAAAATGCTTACGCCCTTACAAAAATGGCCTTTTTCCTCCAGCTTGTACGGATAAAAAAAATTCTAATTTCAGCAAATTAGTTATGCAAATCACTTGGGAACATTTTTATCACCACTATATAAACACACTATATAAATACGCAAAACATTCTATACAACGCTAATATGCAGAGGGGTTATTTTTTCTTAAAGACAATAGAACAAACTAATATTCTCCTAACTTCAAGTTCAGAGTTCTGAAAGCAACTATTATGAGAACTAGGTTAAAAGTTTGAACTAAAAAAGATTAGACAGTCCACCTATAATATGTGTCACTCAAAGAGAACTTAAAAGTCAAAAAGCAAACTTAGAATTCTGAAATAAATTGATAAGAAAGTCAAAAGACATCTACCACCATTTTTTGCCATTTATGTTCATTTGCAAATTTTAATATAAACATTTGCAAATAATAAGCCAAATCTCACCTGTTCAATTTCAAATATATATATACAGCAGTTTTACATTCTTATATTTAATCACTCATATTATGCCATGACATTTTAACTAATATCCTTTAAGCAGAGAAATACCTTAACAGTTGAGAAAGCAGGAGTCTGATATAAACAACATGTAACAAATAAAAATTTTTAAAAAATACTTTACATATTTTACTAACATTTCCTAGAAAAATATATCATATAAATTACTAAAATCCTTCAATTTTACTAATAAACAGCTTAGAATATGTTATAACATATTCACTATCAATGCTGTTAAAGTTTGATATTGCAACAGATTTTACCATCCCATCTGCTTATGTCCGATCGACTTACATTTGGCGCTTAATGTACTCTTTAAGCAATGCTTCTTCCACAGGATACACCTGTACGCCTGTACCATCATCATAGTAATACATCATACTCGTATTAAGTTCTGTTTGAAATGGTTGATCAGTCCTCTCACCATGTTCTCGATAATCATATGAATAATCAAAGTTCACTTGATGTGTATAAAGAAAAAGAAAGGTGATCATAGATTAAAAAAAAATAGTTACTATAAAGAAAAATCCAAAGTGAAGTATTTCAAGGGATAACAATATAAAACTATCTTTATTATCTGACAAAAAAAAGTTAGTTGAAACATTATATGGGATAGCGGGAAAAACTAACAGTGGGCTTGCATACTTTTTTCAAAGCTCATCTAATTTAACAAAACAAATAATCATGTCATACCTCGAGGATTTCCTCTGCCTCGTCCTCTTCCCCGTCCTCGGCCTCTTCCTCGGCCTCTAAAGGAACCTCGAATATTACAACCCTCACTTCTCACACTGGAAACTTCATCTTGATCATCTCTCTTTTCTCTATCACGCCTCCAATCTTTTTAAAATTAAAATATTTTTATACATTCCAATTTGCAACTATGAATAACACGATTATCTTTACGAAAACATGGTAACCACACCTCCCCACTCTGTAACTAGTTGTTAGTAACCAGGCATTCTTTAGATAGATACGAACTTAAGAGATCTCATAGGAATCTGTCAAAATGTCTCTGGCATAAAAGAGGGCCCATAAAAGTACTGATATAAAAAGAAAACATTCTAATAAGTAAAATAACATACTACAAAGATAAAGAGGTCCTTTGCCAAGACTATACTATTGAAGATTCAAGAATTTCCAAGACAACTGAGTTTGCACTATATAAAATGCCTAAAAAAATACTTACATTCACAAAATGTTTAAGGAAAGGATGTTTCTATTTAAATAAAAAACGTTCCTGGGGCCAGCCCCGTGGCTTAGCAATTAAGTGCGCGCCCTCCGCTACCGGCGGCCCGGGTTTGGATCCCGGCCGCACACCAACGCACTGCTTCTCCGGCCATGCTGAGGCCGTGTCCCACATACAACAACTAGAAGGATATGCAACTGTGACATATAACTATCTACTGGGGCTTTGGGGCAAAAAAAAGAGGAGGATTGGCAATAGATGTTAGCTCGGAGCTGGTCTTCCTCAGGAAAAAGAGGAGGATTAGCATGGATGTTAGCTCAGGGCTGATCTTCCTCGCCAAAAAAAAAAAAAAAAGTTCCTTTTAAAGAAAAAAGAAAATGAAAACACAAAAACTGGAAAAGATATGTGCAGCACGATACAGAAATTACATTCAGAATACCTATAGAACTCACACAAATGTCTCTTATGGACAAACACTACATGGCAACTCAATGGGAAAAATGGCTAAAAGACAGGTAGAGCAAACAAGGAAATGCAAACGAATAATACATATTGAAAACAGTGCTCAGGGGCCGACCCAGTGGCACAAGCGGTTAAGTGTGCGTGCTCTGCTGCCGTGGCCCAGGGTTCGCCGGTTCGGATCCTGGGCACGAACCGACGCACCGCTTGGCAGGCCATGCTGCGGCGGCGTCCCATATAAAGTGGAGGAAGATGGGCACAGATGTTAGCCCAGGGCCAGCCTTCCTCAGCAAAAAAAGAGCAGGATTGGCAGATGTTAGCACAGGGCTGATCTCCTCACAAAAAAGAAAGAAAGAAAAAAAAAAAAAGAAAATGGTGCTCAGCCTCACTGGCCATGAGAAATGCAAATTAAGACAATGAAAGAGTATTTCATCTGCCCTAATCTGAAAAACATTTTAAGGTCCTGTAATATCAAATGTTGACCAAGACAGAAAAGGTAGAATATCTGTTTACTGCTAGAGTAAAAACGGGCATATCCATTTTGAAAAACAATCTTGAATAATCAAACAAATTTGAAGGTACATATATCCTAGAGACCAGGGTTTTTTAACCTTGGCACTATTGACGTTTTGAGCCATATAACTCTCTAGTGCGAGGGGTTGTCCTGTGTACTGCACGATGTTTAACATCAATCCATGACCTCTACCCACTAGATACTAGTAGCATTCACTCACCACCACCACTCCCCTCCCCAGTTGCGAAAACCAGCATTCTCGAGAGAATGCCAAATGCCCCCTTCAGAGGGAAAAAATCACCTTACTTTGAGAACCTCTGCCCTAGCCCCTGCAATTCCTCCTCGATGCATATCTTAATACAGCCTTTTCCAAACATTTCTGACTCAACCTACAGTAAGTCTTATTGTACACTTACAAAATACACATACAAAAATTTTTTTGTGATTTAAACACAAGTGTCATGAAAAAATATTTACTATGTAAAGCACTCTAGTCTATCAATTTTTTGAAAAATCTTATCATGGCCCAGTACACCAATTTCGTAAAACACTCAAGGGTTGCAGTCTGAAGAAATTACCCTAGAGAACCTCTTGTACATGTTTACTAGAAAATATGCATAAAAAGGTTCATGGCAGCACTTTAATATCAAAAAACTGGAAACAATCCAAATGCCCACCAACAGAACAGATTTTATCACATAATAAAATACCCTTTAGCAGGGGGAAAAAAATGAATGAATCACAGAAATACAACCAACAAGCATAAATCTAAGAAACTTAGACTAAGTGAAAAAAATGAAGTGCCAAAGAATATGTGAATGGAGTCATACTGGATGCCAATTTCAAAAACATTCGAAAAAACTAAAACATTCAGGCTTCCCACCCCCCCATCCCAAGGAGGGAAACAATGGGATGCAAGTGTGGAGGGCACACAGGGAAATTCAAAGGTAATGGGTAACATGCATTTCTAAACTGGGAGCTGAGTTCCCAGTGTTCATTTTATTACTGTTCTTTATAACCTTACACATTTTCTCATACTCAATATTTAATAATAAAAAAATTTTGAAGTATGAATATACATTACTTTTAGAATAAAAGATTAAAATGATATATTTGAGAAACAATGATACAAGAGGCAAAAAGTGTCTTTTTTTTTGTAGATATGTTTTATAATTTTATCATCATATTTTGTGAACAATTGAGCAAATATAATGACTAGATTTTAGATGACAGAAAATTTTAAAATTATCAGATTTAAAAGATTTCAGCAGAAAACTATAAAACCAAACACTCATCCGATTGTTTCCATAAATCCTTCTGTCCTCCTCTGCTTTCTGAAATCTAAGCAAACCCCGTTGAAATGATGTATCTGGGGGATGATTTTTAATGATAGAAATACCACTAAATGAAAGATTGATGGGACACTTTCTAATGGATGGATAACGCTAACAACACCTGAACCAACTCAACCTTAACACAACTGAAAGTGAGACACCCAGACATTTTATTCCTACTACAGTGATACAATACACACACATACACACACACCATGAAGCATTCCTCCCAAAACAAAATCAAAAATAAACCGGAACCTAGGGCCGGCCCCATGGCTTAGTGGTTAAGTGTGCTCGCTCTGCTGCTGGCGGCCCGGGTTTGGATCCCGGGTGCGCACCGACGCACCGCTTCTCCGGCCATGCTGAGGCCTCGTCCCACATACAGCAACTAGAAGGATGTGCAACTATGACACACAACTATCTACTGGTCCTTTGGGGGAAAATAAATAAGTTAGTTAAATAATTAAATTAGACTAATTAAATTAAAAAAAAAAAAAAAAAACCAGAACCTAATCACTCTGGCTCTCATTACCAGTTATATATAGAAAAAACAAAACAACTCATTACAGGATATCCTGACAAAGATTCAGCCAAATCCAAAATATGGGAAATTCCACATGACATATGGCCTCACAAAGAGCAAAGGAAAGAAACATTGTTAGTGAGAATGTAAAGTGGTACAACCAATTTGGAAAACAATTAGGCAATTTCTTATAAAGTTAAATATACACTTACCATACCACCTAGCAATCCGCTCCTAGGTGTTTACCTGAGAAACTAAAACATATGCCCACACAAAGACTTGTACACAAATATGCATAGCAGCATTACTCATAATAGCCCCAAACTGGAAACAAGCCAAATATCTCTGAATAGATGAATGGATAAAAGGGTACACACATTCAAAAGAAAACTATTCTGCAATAAAGAGGTAGAAACTACTGATACAGGGAACAAGACTGACGAGTCTGAAAAACATTATGCTGAGCAAAAGGAGAGACAAGAGTACATAATGTATACTGTATAGTTCAATTTATATGAAATTCTAGAAAAGAGAAATCTAACCTGACAGAAAGTAGATTGGTGGTTGATGGAAGTAACAGTAATGTGAGTGTATTTTTTTTTCAGTGAGGAAGAGTGGCCCTGAGCTAACATCTATTGCCAATCTTCCTCTCTCTTTTTTTTTTTTTTTTTTGCTTGAGGAAGATAGTCCCTGAGGTAACATCTGCGCCAATTTCCTCTACTTTGTATATGGGATACCACCACAGCATGGCTTGATGAGCAGTGTGTCAAGGATCCGAACCTGTGAACCGAAGTGGAGTGCGTGAACTTAACCTATGCCACCGGGCTGGCCTTGAGTGTATTTTAACATATGTAATTTATAGCTCAGTAAAGTTGACTTTTTAAAAAAGGACCCAGAAACCACCCAGAAGAGATTTCCACTAGCCAAATCTGGGACAATTTGAGCGTCAAATTAAATAATCATACTAACAAATTATAACCCATTGAAAAAATAAGAAGCCATAAGTCCATACTGATAATAATGGGAAGCTGTTCCTCATAGTGGAATACTAACTAATAAATATAAAAGGAATGATGCAGTAAGAAAAAGCATTCACAACCACCATGACAGTAATTAAATCAGGCAAGAATCATCAATGGAAACTAAAGCTCATGTGAAAAGTCTGATGAGAAACTGGGTATTTCCACAGTCTCAAAGTCTCTCCCCACAAATTACATATTAATTACCAAGGGGAAAAGAGTATCTTTACAATAAAGAAACCTGGAGTACATCATCTTAACCAAGTGCTCAAAGTTAATATCACCAATAATAAAATAAACCAAGATCATGTGCATTTCCATGTGACGTACTAAGAAGAAAACCATTTAACTTCCGTAGTACGCCTGCCAAAAAATCATAACACAAATCTGATCATGAGGAAACATCAGAAAACCCAAAGTGATGGATATCTACCAAATAACTGTCCTAAGGTCTCCAGAAAAAATCAATGTCATGAAAGACAAAAGCAGAAGAACCATTCCAGACTAATGGAGACTAAAGAGAAAAGACAACTAAAAGCAATGTGTGATCCCAGATTAGATCCTGGAAAGGAGGGGGAAAAAACTGTAAAGGACATTATTGGGAAAATCTGCCTCTGGACAGTCATACTGTATTACTGTTCTTATGATATATACTCTGAAGGTATTTCGCGTTAAAGGGGCACAAGGTCTGCAGCTTACTCTCAAAGAGTTTATACTATACATGGTTACTAAAATAATAACCATTAAGTAAGACCAAGTCTTTTTGTCATTTTCCTCTTAGACTGTAACTTACTTCGTGTATCATTTCTCCTATTATTATGTGATGATTTATTTGCTTCAAGTTGACATCTTGAGCTGTTCCGGGATCCTGGTCTTTCTTGACTGTCTGGTCTTACATCATCTAAGTGGAGTGGTACCCACCTGTGCTTATTAGCTTGAAGAAAACAAAATAAAATCATTTAACGACAATGCACGATTTTCATTAAAGCACTGCAATTCTGGAAGGACTCTAAATTTTAATTAAATCAATGACTTGATTTTTCCTTAAAAAGCTTACTATGGAGTACCAAAATAATTTTCCTCTTCTCACACAGCTCCTTAATAAACTTGTTTGTGCAAACAGTATTTCTAAAAGTCAAGTGAAAAGCCAGTGATGGAGTATCCTTGGAATTCTTTTGCTTTTAAACGAAATGCTCACTCTTCTGTTTAATTCTGATGGATAAGCTATTTAAAAATAGTACATGTACACCCTACTCCTGTCTAATACTTGATTCTTAGGCTTTAGAACAGGGTATATCTGATAAGATCTTATAATGTACACACTGGAAAGTCTGACTAGTGATTCAAAACACTTTTAGTTTCGAATCACTGCTTAAATATTGATTTATCCAGCATTACTACTAATGAAAGGGGTTTCTCAAAATTAAGTTTAAGTATAAAATTTGTCTAACTGCACTTGAAAATCTTTTTTCAGGTACTACACATTTTCCTAACTTTTTTTTTTTTTTGAGGAAGATTGGCCCTGAGCTAACACTTGGTCCCGATCTTCCTCTTTTTCTTTTTTCTCCCCAGTACACAGTTATATATCCTAGTTGTAGGTCCTTCTGGTTCCTCTATGTGGGATGCCTCCTCAGCATGGCTTGATGAGCAGTGAGTAGGTCTGCGCCCAGGATCCGAACCGGAGAACCCTGGGCAGCAGAAGCAGAATGCACGAACTTTTTAACGGCTATGCCACTGGGTCGGCCCCTCCTAACTTCTTAAGATAAGAGATACAAGGAATGTAACTTTTCTTGTTGATTAAATGATAGTGTAATTGTTATACTATAGTAAAATTCTGAAGATTACCTATTCATAGATTCCATAGTTAAGGTTTCAAAATGTTCAGTCTTCTGCCCAATATATATTTTCAGCTAAAACAAAAAGACTCATGGCCAAAGGAAAAACTACCAAGGTAATTAAGGAAAAGGGAATATTGGTGTGCAACTGCAGCGCTGATTTCCTACAAATCCTGCAAAATATGGATAGAAGAGGAAGAGAGAATACAAAAAAATCTAAAAACTCTTTAAAGTCTATACTATAAATTCTATCAATGAGATTCTTTTGCATAAACAGGCTCTTCTTTTGAAGATAAAAACGTGTGCATGACTTGATTATATGAATTACTCTAACTATAAACACCTTGATTTCAGTGTTGGCTGATCAGTTTTAATTGAGGCAACTAACAAGACAAATTTTAGAGCAGGTCTGTCATTTATGAATTCTAGACAGTCAAAAAGACTACTTAGGGCCAGCCCCATGGCTTAGCGGTTAAGTGCTCGCGCTCCGCTGCTGGCGGCCCGGGTTCGGATCCCGGGCACGCACCGACGCACTGCTTCTCTGGCCACACTGAGGCCGCGTCCCACATGCAGCAACTAGAGGGATGTGCAGCTATGACATACAACTATCTACTGGGGCTTTGGGGGAAAAGATAAATAAATAAATAAAATTATAAATGTAAAACTTTAAAAAAAAAAAAAAGACTACTTAGACATCTAAGCAGCATGAAAAAGGTAACTGATAAAGTCTTAGGGGAAATTGTTTTCTAAGAACCAGATGGTTGTCCTGTTGCCACCACTTTTGAGCAATTGGACTTGGCTCATTGCATCAAGGGAGCCTAATGTTTACCCTGAAGCTAAGGATTACATATTCATTAAAAAAAAAAAAAAAACAATTCAAGTAAGTGCTCAATATATGGCAGATTGCTAGTTCCATTATTAAAGAAGTTGGCTGGCAAATACTGCATCATCATGAAATGTCCCCTACATATATGCTTTTACAAAGCAATAAATCATAATCTGTCCCTTAGACACGAGAAAAGTTTTGAAAAGAATATGGAAAGGGATGTAAAGACAATATTTTTTTCTTCAAAGGTGAAATTTAATGGGGGAATGCCATGAGGAAAAAAAGAACAAAATTCTCACTTTCCTATTAGAAAAATAGTCTCAGAACTCCCTGAAAAACAAGCAGCAGTTCCAATGCAGATTTAAAAAATAATCATCATACAACTTTCCAAGAATATATCTACACCCATCTCTCTAAGTGGAACTTCATTCCAATCTTACATCAAATACAAGTCAAATGCAAAAAGGAAAGCCTAATAGTTCAGAAACGTTTCAAAAGCAAATTAGTTACCATTGCAGATGGTATCCTGAGGAAACCCAAAATACTCATTGGTGACTACTAGGAATCAACTGATTAAATACAATTCTTCATTACTACAACTTTTTTCCAAAAATTAAAATCAAAATGAAGATATAGATAAAGTAACCTCTCTTTCATTGATTACCTTACTGAACCTCATCCTCACCAACATTTTCACTGGGACCATCTAATTTACAATAGCCAAGACAAGGAAACAACCTAAGTGTCCACTGATAGATGAATGGATAAAGAAAATGTGGTATATATATACAATGAAATACTATTCAGACATGAGAAAGAAGGAAATCCTGCCATTTACAACTTGGATGGATCTTGAGGACATTATACTGAGTGAAACAAGTCAGAAAGAGAAAGACAAATTCTGTATCATCACACTTATACATGGAATCTAAAAACGCTGAACTCATAGAAACAGAACAGACTGGTGGTTGCCAGAGGCAGGGGGTGGGGGATGGGGCAATGAGTGAAGGCAGTCAAAATGTACAAACTTCCAGTTATAACACAAATTAGTTCTGGGGATGTAATGTACAGCATGGTGGCTATAGTTAACAATACTGTATTGTATATTTGAAAGTTGCTAAGAGAGTAGATCTTAAAAGTTCTCATCATAAGAAAAGAAAAAATGTGATTGTGAGGTGACAGATGTTAACTAAACATTGTGGTAATCATTTCGCAACATATATATACATCAAATCATTGTGTTGCATACCTTAAACTAAAACAATGTTATATGTCATTACATCTAAATAAAACTGGGGAAAAAATAAAGTTATAGATGAACTAACCTCTCTTTCGTTGATTACTTGACTGAGCCTCATCCTCGCTGACGTTTTCACCAGGACCATCTAATTTTGTTTCCTGGCCTTCTTTGCTCTCACTGTTACTTCTCTTTTCAACCTTGTCTTCTCTTTCTTTTCTATTTTGTGGCTTCTTATTTCCTTGGCTGAGGACACTCTGACACTGCAAAGTTTTTAAAATAATTTTCATAAACATTTTCACTAACATATCCAAAAATCTGTGGTACTATACCTTACCTAAATATTGCAAAACAAATGACAACTTGTATCAAAAATAAAACACTACTTTCAAAAAGCACTGTCAAAAGAAAACCCAAGCCACAGACTGGCAGAAAATATTTGCTAAGTATTTGATAAAGGACTTGTATCCAAAATATATAATGAACTCTCAAAATGAAGTAATGAGAAAACAACTCAATTTTTAAAAAATGGGCTAGGGTTGAACACACACTTCATCAAAAAGATACACTGATGGCAAACGTAGACAAAAAGGTGCTTGACATCACTGGTCAGAAAAATGCAAATTAAATGTACAATGCGATACCACCGAATGCCTAAAATTAAAAGACTGACCACATCAAGTATTAGTGAGGATGTGGAATAACTACAATTCTCATACGCTGCTGGTGAGAATAGAAAGTTTGGTAGTTTCTTAAAAAGCTAAACAAATAGCTGCCATACAATCCAGCTATTCTACCTACTCCTAGATATTTACCCAAGAAAAATGAAAGCGTATATCCACGCAAAATTTTGTACACAAAATATGTATAGCAGCTTTATTTGTAACAGCCAAAAACTAGAATCAACGCAAATGTCCATCAATAGGCGAGTGGACAATGTACATCCATTCAATGGAATACTACTCAGCAATAAGGAATGAACTACTGATACACACAACATAAATAAATCTCAAAATAATTAAGCTGAGTGAAAGCTAGAAAAAAAGTGCATACTGTATGACTCCATTTATATAAAACTGTAGAAAATACAAATTAACTATAAGCGACAGAAAGCATATTCTGTAGTTGCCTGGGAACATAGGGAGAATGGGACAGGGAGAATTACAAAGGAGTGTGAGGAAGTTTTGGAGTAATGGTCAAGTTCATTCTCTTGATGGTGATGATGGTTTCACAAGTGTATATAGATCAAAACTTATCAAATTGTACCCTTTATATATATATATACAGTTTATTATATGTCATTCATACACCAATTAAGCCTGTTTAAATTAATATATATTATCTACAACTACACACCAATAATACTGCACAAATTACAAATAGCAAAGTGTACAGTATCAAAAGAAAACATGTAACGAGATAATCACATATGCCACTCCTCTAAAGAGCCCCTTGATAGAATCTCAGAACCATCTTTTAGAGCTCTCATAGTTAAATTAAAAATCCATTAATTGAGCACTTCTTGATATGATACATATGCATATATATCTATGTGTATATAGTTAGCACTTCAACACATATTGAAAGATCATAAATCAAAAAAACATATATAACAAATTCTGAAACACAAAATGGGATTCAATTAGACATATCACATTAAAAATTAATCTATTTGTAGGCATTACATGAAGATGACAGCACAGTAACCACTCCTTCCAAATGTAAAGTTCCCACTTAAGAATAGAACCAGATGAAAGCAATGTGATGAATGAAATCAGGTATCCGAACAATGGGTAAAACTATAAAGAGGGTAGCTGCTGAGTTTTCAGCACCTCTTTATTAACGTAATTCTCTAAATGTGGAGTAAATAAACTCTGCATCTTTAAATGAGAATATTTTCCCTTTACTTAAAAAAAGCCTTAAAACAATACTCACTCCAGTGTTCACTAATTCACTTGGTGTTGGCCAATTCGCCATATCGCTGAAATCACTAGCCTAAGAAGTAATAAATAAGTGTTATGTCTGCAAATTAGAAATTTTATATAGAAAATATATTTTCTAAAAGTGAAAGCAATTTTAAAAATCACCTACATTCAATTATATGCAGGCATTTGCCAAATTAACCCAAAAGCTACTCAAACAACAGAACACTGAAATAAGAATGCTTTGGGGGCCGGCCCCATGGCTTAGTGGTTAAGGGCGTGCTCCGCTACTGGTGGCCTGGGTTTGGATCCCGGGCGCGCACCGACACACCGCTTGTCTGGCCATGCTGAGGCGGCGTCCCACCTACAGCAGCTAGAAGGACGTGCAACTATGACATACAACTGTCTACTGGGGCTTTGGGGAGAAAAAGGGAAAAAAAAAAAAGAATGTTTTGGTCTTATGATCCAACTTCTAGTACTACTTAATGACACTGACTAAATTGATATACACAGAGGCATATGGGAATTTGGACAAAAGCTACAATTTTCTAGTATATTAACTTTAAACTAACATCAATGATAAAACTAGAAGAAAAATACACAATGGTTTGAGAAGAGTTCCTAACGTAATTTTCAAAATCAATATAGTTAAGAACTACTTCGTGTAAAGACATACCTTGTTGGATTTCTTTGTCTTGAGTTTTCCTGCTTTTATAATTTTTGGGGAACTGAGCTCTAAAAAAGATACATAGAATTGTTTTATAACCAATTCATTCAATATATTTAACCAAATAACTAGTATACTAATTTCAGTAAGTCAGTGTAGTCATCATTCACAGCAAAATTCAAAGTTCTGAGACTCAACTTCCTAACAAGAAATCAACTACATTCCAAATGTAGATTCTTCAGTGTTCAATCAAGAAGTGGGAAATATTAAGTTTACTTACACTGAACTGAGAGACCAATTCTTTCACTAACAGAATGCAACATGTAAAAATTAGGAATATAAAATGTTTAAATAAAGTTAGTAACTCAATTGCCAATAGGATACACTTTTCTATACAACTAATACATTTACCTTATCAAAGAACATCCAGAAAATAAGTCAGAAGACTTTAAACCATCTGTCCTTGAAAAAAAACAAAGTTTGGCAACCAAATTAGGTTGTATCTAGATTCAAGTCATAAAAAATACAACAGGTCTCTGTAAAAGTTTGTATAAGATGGTATCACCACTTGTCCCTATCTTGCATAAGCACACAGTGGTTGACAATAAAAAATACATATATATATACTGTCTCCAAATGAAGCTTTACTCTGTCTTTTAGTTTAGTTCATTACCTAGCAAGATGACACGTCATCTAGCTAAACATGACCTAAAGTAAATATTAAAAAATAGAATAAATTTGAGATCTGCATCTACAGAAAATATAATTCACCAAAACATGTATCCCATAAATCATAGCAATAACCAATACATAGAATAAAACAAAGCAATCTTTGAATTAAAACCCAGAAGCAGATTTAAATGAGAGAATACTTATCAAAGGAAGAGGGATGAATGATGAAGATGTCACCACAGATAGGCACACAGGGATCTTGAATGAGGTAGTAATTCTATTTCTAAAGCAGAATAGTGAGTACATAGGTATTTGTTTTATTTTTCTTTACACTTTAGGTACACATAGTATATGTATATGTGTAAATGTGCATAAGGATAAAATATTTCATTAAAAAAAATTAGACAAAGTAGAAAAAAAATATAGGCAAACAGGACCAAAAAAAAGATGGCAGGAAAAAACCTAATTTAATAAAGAACAATATTTGCCTGAACATCATCTAGAATTTGACTGAACGATGTTCTGTAAATACTATGTAATGTATATATGTAAATACTATACTTTATGAAAGTTTACAGTATAGAACATTTGAGGGACTTTTCCTTCAACAAAGTGGAAAACATGTCCCAAAATATCACTAAGTAAAATAAATTAAGTGCCTGGTAGTTACAAAATACAGTCTTATACAAACTATCTGATGTGATGGAAAGTAAATAAGGCACAGGCCACACATGCAAGTTGTATTTAGCATTATTACAAATTAGACATTAATAATCACAAAATTAAGGTCAGAAATTAAAGATAAAAAATTATTCTGACCAGGTAACAGTAAAAACAAACTTTTTGGGGCTGGCCCGGTGGCACAGCGGTTGAGTTGGCGCTCTGCTTTAGCGGCCCAGGGTTCACAGGTTCAGATACCGGGCACGGACCTGCACACCGCTTATGGGGCCATGCTGTGGTGGCGTCCCACATGTAAAGTAGAGGAAGACAGGCATGGATGTTAGCCCAGGGCCAATCTTCCTCAGCAAAAAGAGGAGGATTGGCAACAGATGTTAGCTCAGGGTTAATCTTCCTCACCAAAAACAAAAAAAAAGTAAAACGAACTTTTTAACTTCAATGCTAAATGCCACCATCAAGTTATTAACAAACTGAAGAAAAAATATTTGAACATGACAGAAAGTTAATAATCTTTCTATTGATTTAAAAATCAATATAGTCCCATACTCTACCCAGACTCTGATTATAACTCTAGCTAAAAGTGAGTAAAGGAGTCGGGGAGGAAGAGTCTTGAACTTTATTTCTTCACGTTTAAAACTAAAAGGAAAAGAGATTTTAATTTTAGTCAATTAGTTTTAACTCAAAACTTTTGGATTTTTCTTTAAAATTTAATCTCTCAACTTTAATTTCTCCTCAGGAAATACAATGGGAAAAAGTTTACATTTAACTCTGTGGGATCTATAATGCTGACATTTTATTAACGGAGTATCTTTATGTACACACTATAATTAGAATGTTTACATATATTTTATCAATACCAAATTTAACCTCATCACAGAGTATTTGACAAACTATGTTGGCCAATGTGGTTGGATACTCTGGGATAGGAAAGCGTGATTTCTTAACATTGGCTACTAAATGGCCCTTAGAATTAATTTACTTTTCCAAGAGGAAGACTTTCCCAGAACATTCCTGTTCCCACGTCCCAATTTCCTCCCATGGAAAAATGTTTCCCAATTAATGAGTGTAGGAAAATAACCGAACTTGCAAAGCCAGCACCTTTTCTGCTTTTTCTTTGGGAGCTAACTGTCCACAAAAAGCTCCCAAGCATTCTCATCTGCTCCTTCAAGCTGTCAAGTTCACAGTGGCAGACTCCCCAAAAGAGGTAGAAGGGGGGGCTTGCAGCTGCCAAGGCCAACTGCGTGGACACGTTTTACCTAATGCCAAGTTCCACATAAGGAAGTCCTTTGTGCTGACTTAGACCACCTCATCAACCCAGTCTTTTTCAGTTAAAAGAATGGTACTGAGCTTTAAAAAAACAAATCTGTGTAGAGATGAACAGATGATTCAAAAAAGTAAATACAAATGGCCAAACGTGAAATGGCACTCAATCGCACTAATAAAGAAATGTAAACTAAAACAACAAAACATTTTTCACCTATCATACTGACAAAAAAAAAGAATACCAAGTATTGCTAGCCTATAGAGAAATGGACATTTCTCTCACGCTGTTGGTAAGAACTGTGAAGTAGTAAAATCTTTCACAGGTAATCTGTCATTTACAATGTATATACCTTTAAATAAAGCAATTCCATTTCTGGGAAATTATCTGGGAATCAAGACATGGTACAAATATGGCTGTATAAGACGTTCACTGCAGCTTTGCTGATAATTGTATTTAAATAAATAACCCCTACATTCACTAATATGGGACAGCTATATTATGGCACATCCCTACAAAATAATGTAAAACTTTTAGAAATAAATCTGTACGTATCGACACGGAAAGAAGTCTACCAGGTTTTAAATATAATTTTATATATACATATAGAGAACAAGTCAAACAAGCCTAAGAAAGGAAATTTTTCATTTTCCCATGTTTTAACTTAAATGGAGGAAATTGCTCTGCACATCGTTAGAGAAAACCTAAGACTGAAAAAGCAAGCCAACCTAGAAAATCATAAAATAAAAAAACTAATTAAAAAATTATTTTTAAATATATGAAACCTAAAAAAAATTTAAGCTACTAATGGCTCCAAGTATATATAAATATACATGAGCAAATACACATCGCCATTTTTCAGACAGCACTGGTGAGACGCAACTTTTTTGAGCAAAATTTCAGTTATCTTTAAAATGTTATTCTCTAACTCTGGAAATCTATAAGGAAGTAATTCTAAATAGATAAGGAAAACAATTCATTTTAAGAGCCTGAATACTGAAAACAAAAACTGCAACATAACTGGCGATTTTACTCACTTTAACTTTCATGACCATAATCCTCAGCAAAGTTTTAATTAAGAAAATGTACTGACAGATATCAATATTTCACATGGCTTTATAATACCTAAGGGAGAAATGTAGTAAAATGTCATTTTGCTACAGTAAATGAGTGTATAAAAAAACTACTTAATTCTTGTACTCTAAAAGTGAGAGTATCAATTTGTACAGTCACTTTAGAGAGCAAGTAACAAAAGGTGATCTAACAATGCCACTTATCATCTATCCTAGAGAAAGTCAGATATATGTACAAAAAGTATAAAATGTTGTTTGAAACAACAAAGATGTTGAGCAGTAAGTAAATGGCTAAATTAACTATGTCAGGTATATTTATGGACCACTTCTCAGCAAATTTTTAAAGGAGTTAGATTAAAAAGAATCTCATCACAAGAAAAACAATTTTGTAACTCTACAGGGACGGATGTTAATTAGACTTATTGTGGTGATCATTTCACAATATACACAAATATCGAATCATTATGTTTTACACCTGTGACTAATATAATGTTAGATGTCAATTATACCTTAATAAAAAATAATTTAAAAACCTCAATTTAAAAACCTCACTAATTGTAAAGAGAAAAAATAAAAGGATGAACCAACACTTGAAATGAAAAATGGAGGATGGTAATATGCAAAGAGAAAAAATAAAAGGATCAACCAACACTGTAAATGAAAAATGGAAGATGATACTATGTTCTAAACGCATATGAAAAACCCTATATTTGGAAGTAATTGCATGGAAAGGTCTGAAAGAATATTCAGCGGACTGGTAACATGATTATCTCTTTTTTTGAAGGGGACATCAAAAGTTCTGTTTTTACAAGGAGAAAGTATTTATGTATCATTTATGTAACTTACTCAAAATGTTATTAGAGTTACTGTTATTACAGTAATAACAATAAGCTTCTTTGAGGTTTCTGGGAAGCAAATACTGGGAGAAAAGAGTGTTGATGAGGGTCAGAAAAGACTTAGGATGAAAAAGATGGAATCATCAATATCTTTACATACTATGTTTTTGTGAGTAAAAGTAAAATTATTTTAGGGAGCTGATTTTTAATATGCAAAATATAATCATGGCTAGAGATAAGTGATTAATAAAGGTCTCCAAATATTGTGATTTTAATAAAGGTCTCCAAAACAAATAAAAGTACTTAAAAAAAAAAAGTTAGGACAGATTCAGGAACAATTCTTTCTGGTCTCCTGACTGAATTCAAGACTGCAGTGACACTATTCTAGGCCTCTTGGGTGGGCCAGACTTGGGCTGAAAAGAGGGCCTTATCTGGATTACCAGAAACAGCACTACACAGGCCAGAACCATCCCAAAAGTGGAAGAAAGTGTCTCACAGGGGTGAAGAAGCAAGAGTGAAATCCAGTTAGAACTGCAGGTTCTAACGGAGAAAACTCATGTCACGACTACCGGTCCTAAAGACTCCCCTACATTTCCTATAACGTTTCTATCTCTGGTAATAAACTTTCTGGCAAAATTTTGTGGATGGAATCCCTGTACCTTATTAAGAGAGTGACAGTAAATGCAGGTTTGGCCAGGACAGACATGGTTTAAGTCTGTTATTTCAGCATAATTTATATCCTCTTTCCCTCTCAAGTGTATCCTGGTTTGTAGGCTAAATTATACAGGCCCCCAACTGATACATTATGGTACTAATTTAACACTTCCTAGTTTGCACCTACCCTGGACCCTAAGGGTCTGCTGCTCCTATTTCATTATTCTTGAAGTTGCAAATTTGCTTAGGAAATACAGGAAGCCAAAGCACCAAGTTATAGATGGCACTGTGGTATTAAGAACAGGAAGAGATGAATACATCCACTTCATTCATTTAAAAGGCCCAGAAATCTTGCCAGAAATCAACTAGCTAGTTACTAACAACAACTAGAGTAGAACCCAAGTTTCTCAGAACAGTGCATTTCTACATCACAATCTCTCATCTAAGTTACCTAAGCTATTCAACTGCAAACAGAAGTTGTGGCAGAACAGTGGAGAGTAGAGAGTCAGTATTGGGGAGAGACTATAAAGTTACTACATTACTCTAAGTCTGAAGAACCGCATTCCTGTGGGCACGGAGGCACGGAATGGATTCCAACAACAGAAAGAGTTGCCTACAGAAAGACCATCAGCAAAACTGAAATTCCCATGAACCACACCATACATCAAGCATCACCTTGTTCTTAATCTCCAACAAAGATCAAGACCCCCAATGAAAGCACCTGTAGATTAATTACATTAAACTGTTAAATATTTTTCACAAGATCACTTCCAATTAAAATTCATGAGCCTCACCTTGAAAGTTTTAAAAACTATCAAACTGATTTTACAATCAACAAAGAGTTCTTTTTTTGCTGGTTCACTGAATATAATATATAACTGTGTGTAAGTCTAGAAGTAGTGAGGTGAGACAGCCATTAAGATTCACTAGGGCCTTCTTTCTCTTTGCTATATTTTATGGAGACTTTGCTTTAAGACTTTCATTCTCTTCAGTTAGTAATAGTAGTAAACAAATATATCTTTGCAGCTAGGAGAGAATGATGGCAATACTAAATTTACAGCAAATGTTTTAGTTTTTTCTGCAAACATCAAAATTTATCAAGAATAATGAATATTACTGTGCAAAAGCTAAAGAAATCAATTAACACTTATCTCACTCTATTTGAGTTCCTATGAAGAAATGTTAATATACCCACAATAGAATGCATGTAACAATCACCTTACATTTATACCGTATCCTTTATCTCATTTGATCCTCACAACCCTGTAAACACTCTCAAAGTTTCCCTATCCCACTGTTAACCTTTAACTTTAAGAAAAACTGAAGATTTGCAAGTAAACAGCCATAAATTTCTAAATTTAATTTTCTAAATAAAAAGTTCAATTAATTTACTACAAATTAATTTAGAAAGGAAAACTAGGGGCCGGCCCAGTGGCGCAAGCGGTTAAGTGCGCGCGCTCCGC